TATTTTTATCAGAAAAATTGGACAAATCCACAGCCCACCAATAAAACCAGTCCAAAACAAATAGCCAGCCCAAACCAAAAAATTACACGGCCCAACTGTTTTTTTTCTTCTCCGATCAGGAGGCGGCACCTGAAGCTTCTGCGCGCCAGCGGCGGCTTGGATGGCGATGGCGACCCACTGGACGGCGGCGGTGGCTCGGCGAGCGGTCGGACGACGGCAACACGATCTGGACGGCAATTTACACTGGACGTCGACGGGATGAACTCGCGATGCGGCGGCGCTTCTCCTTTGCTTCTGCGCGATTCTGATGCGACGGTCCTCTGCGCGCGGCTAGCAGCGGCGCTCCTGTGTTGCATGCGATGGTCAATTGACGGCGGCGGATCTACTGCGCGACGACGGCAGCGACGCGGTTCACTCAAGCGGCGAAGCTGCTCCCGGACGGCGATTGACGGCTGAGATTTCCGGCAAATCTGTGTGCGGGTCACAACTAGCGGCTGACGGGAATCTCCTCTCCCAGCGGCTGGATTTTTTTTGGGAAACAGCAACGGCGCTCTGGCTCCTGGTCCCGTTACACCCTCTCTGGACAGAGGCAATCAACGGCGAAATCAGCAGATCTCCAGCGGCGGTCGACCAGGGAGATCGACGGCGGCAGCGGTCTCTCTTCTTGTTGCACGACCACAAGGCGGCGGCTCTTCTGCGTGTGGCGAGAGGCAACGGCTGGACGAACCAGAGCTGCTCTTCTACAACGGTTCTCGGCTACGCGATCGAAGGCGGCAGCGGCGAGTCTGCTCGTGACTCACTGCCAGCTGCAGCTTTCCCGATTCAAGCGCGGCAGCTCTCTGTGGATCGGCGGGGATGGTGGTGCTCCGGCGGCAGCGGCCCAAACACAGGCTCCTGCTACTGCACAGGGTTCTTTAGGTGACACTCTCTCTGATTAGTTTCTGCTGATCGGATTTCCGGTGTTCCCGAACCAAAGCTCCGATACCACTTGTTGGGATAAACGCATGCGGAAACAACACACAATCACGAATCAACTGCAGAAAAATTAACGGCACAGGATTTAACGTGGTTCGGTCTTCAACTGCGACCTACTCCACACGGGGCAACTAGGAGGATTTTATTATTTGTTGTTGCACCACAATTACAAGCACATTAGCATCTCTTAAATAGAGAATAATTAGGAGAGCACAATGATTAGGGAAGTTAGAAGCTTCTAGGTAGTTTCCTGCCAATTTCCTGTTAGTTTCCACCTAGCTTCCTGGCTTCACACTCAACATCACCATCATAATGAGGTCCATCAATAACCTGTAAAAATCAAAAGAGAATTTACAAAAAAAATATTTGAGGAAATTCTGGAAAATATGACATCTAAAACACCATGATTATTTTAAATATACTTTTTGAGATAGATATTTTTTCCCTCCCTCTTCCAAACAAATCTTGACCGCACACTTACGGTTTTATTTTATTCTTTATTGAAAAATGTGAACATCAAATAAGACGTTAATTCTAGAACGAGTATATATGAAAGGTTTGAGTATCCTAAGCATACATTGAGATTCAATATATGTATGTGTGTGTGTGTGTATACATACATACATACACACACACACACACACACATATATATAAACAAAATCCAAACATAACATGTCTTAATTATCGAGTAACAATTGAATGTTTGGCTCAAACATTTGAATGTTGGCAGCGGTTAGAAATGAATATGTGATTTTTATGTCAACCTTCGTGTCTAATAGCGAAACATTCAATTGTACTATAAACATTTAAATCCAAACATTCTTTTGCAAAAAGTGTTGAATGAGCATGCACTCCGCCCGTTGGACTCCGCAACCGAGGCAACCGTCCGCGCACTCCGATTTTGAATTTCTAATATCATTGAATGAGCGTGCACTCCGCACATCCAAAGTCGTTAACAACAAAACGTCTAATAAAATACTCATTCGATCTAAGAAAATTCAATTATATAAAACTGTTAGCAACAACAACTCAGTTGAATCCCACGAGAGTAGGCACTGAAACCATTCATTACCAAAAAAGAAACCATTGATAAGTCGATGGCATTATTATGTGAGATGAGCTTGAGGAGTCTATTGGGAGTGGAGACTAAAATGTCGGGTTTGCACTCATTCAGGCTGCCATTATCAAAATCCACACATTAATTACACATAAAAATCTATAGAGTATTTCTGTACGCGTAAATGCTAAAACTACCATGATCAGGACCACATATGATAATCATTTGTGAATTTATGATAGCCCTAGTATCAACCAGAGAAGGATGGTTGGCTCCTCGTGCCTAGAATAGAAGTAAGCCAAAGAAGAAATTAAGGGGAAGGAAGAAAGAAGAGGGAAACGGCTGGAATAAGAACAGAAAAGAGGTTTCAGAAGAGGAATAGATAAAAGGGGGAAAGAGGATGTATTATTCTTCTCTGCCAAAACCGTTGTACAGCCTCACTTAAATAGATCCCCAAACCCTAAGTTGCTACGTGGCCTATCATGTCGGTTCAAGAAAAAGCATCGAGGTAAAGAACCGAAAAGAAACCCTCGAAGGAGCGTAAAAGCTCACCTAATAAAATCTATGTTACATTGATTAATAATAATAAATAAATAATCCTTAATCTGCATAATCCTTCCGCCAGTGCGGCGGTCTCCTAATTTTCGTACTACGCCGCACCTCCCCCATGCATGAGCGATCACCCACGTCTTCGACGTCCTCAGGAGCCCTGCTCGTAACAATTTATACATGTACGAGCCATAGATAATTGTCTGTAAGTTCTGTGTTCACAAATGATTACCGTCTGTGTAAGTAAAAATTCACAAAGAGTGGTGTCAAGTGTGGTGAGTTTCCAACGTGAATTTTAATTTAGTAAATGCATAGAATATAAAGAAAGATGAGATATGAGAAATTTTCACTAAAAGTGTGTATTCCATTTTCTTTCAAAGGATTGCACACTCGGAGCACCTAAATATAGTTATCGTAAAAGGAATATAATTTCGTTCGCTTTCGAAAGAAAATTCTTACTCACTCTCCACTCCTGCCTCCTCAATCCCATTACCCTGCCACCCCTCATCTCGCCTTTTGTACCCGCCCCTTGTCCACCCGCAACTCGACACCCCCCAGCTCCCCCGGCCCCACGGCCAACGACCACTGGCAATCCACTGCCACCCCGCGCGGCATGCCCTCATGCTGCTAAAATATTTTTAAATTGTCCCAAACACTTTTTTCTAAACGTCATTTTTTCAAATATCAACAATGTAAAATAGTCTCTTGGAAAAGTAATCTTTCCATAAAAAAATTATCAACAAAAAACAAAGAAAACAAAAATGGTGAAAACCTTAATCACTTCTTGTTGGGAGGGGACCAAGTATACAAGGAAAGGGCTTGAGGGGGGCAACTGGTTTCCCTTTCTTATTACTACTACTACTCTTCCAAAACTCAAACTCCCTTGAGAAAAAAAAGGACGACGACTGCCCTTTTCTCTCGTTAAGGAACGCCTTGTCCTTCCCGATTTTACTCAAGCACGAGATCAAGGTCTCGGGTAGAGCCCCGTCGTAGTTGTAGTCGTAAGCGTCGTGTTTTTCTCGGGACAGTATTTCTGCATTGTGCAGTTTAAAAGCTTGTTTATTAGAGTTTTTTTAGCTCATTCTTGAAGTTTAGATCCATGGCAAGGGGTGATTAGTTCTTGATGGGTAAGGGTACAAATTAATACAGAGAGTTTAATGCAAATATTTTCACATGACACTACTACATATGAGATATTCATATCATATCCCCAGTGTTAATCTCAACTATAAACAAAACCCAGAAATCTAATCTAATGGTGTTGGCCTGGGTTCAAATCTATGTGTCCCACATGGGAGAAGAAGAAGAAGAGAGACCAAAACAAACAGTTTCAACCAAACCCATTAGTATGAGATCTGTTTGGAGGTGTCTCAAAAAAAAGTTGTAATGAATTGGTCGAGAGTGGACAATATTATAATAATATGTTAATTGTACTTTATTTGAGTTCAAATGTTCTACAGATAATTGTTATCATTCATTCTCTTTAATTTAATTTGTAAAATACTTCCTCCATTCCATAAAGATGTTCTCATTTTGATTTTTATGAAATTTAAGGGGGAGTTATATTTGTGTTGACTTCCCAAAAATACCAATGATGTGATGAGTAAAAGTAGAATGTGATGAATGGATTATTAGTAGTAAGGTATGATGTTATAAGAAAGTTAAGAATTAGTAGGGGTAAAAGTAATTTTTTTATAGAAAAGGAAAAATGTTTGTGGACAAGAAAAAAAAGAAAGAGGAAGAAGTTTTTAGAACAGAGTTTGATAAGCGTTTCTTGGATATTAATTGTTCCTTTTTCAATTTGTTTACGGAGTGTGTTTCTTCATTTAAATACACTTGGGTTTTCAAAAGGAAAGGGTCTTGCATTGCATGTTTAAATGTAATAAAATAAAATGTATCTATCAATCTCGATTTGTATCGAAACCAATTTTGAAACATCCTTAACCAACACTCCGAGATCGGAATTTCGAGCTAAACTGAAAAATTAATACGGCACTAATACGAGCTAGATACTATCATGTTCCGTATCATACCCACCCCTAGTATCTGTGATACGCAATCACACACTATGTCTATGACTGTAGTTGAAGGTTGTAGGCCTCAACACTTGGTGTCTTTTTGAACACTCACAAACATACAATTTATGCGTGGAATCCTAATAGCAGGAAACATGTTTATAAGAGACTGAATCAATGGTGGTCTGATACAGTTATATCAATTTATTTTCCTTAAGTGTATCATTTAGAATATGTTTTACCACAACGGGTCACTCGGGTCATATATTTAAGTAATTTAACGAGTCATTTTGAGTTTGATCCCTTTTGGTAGTTCGAGCGACAATTTTTTATATTTAAATATCAATATTTTTTAGTCGGGTAAAAAAAGTTCACAATAGATTCTCCAAGTACCTACACAAACTTTCAAACAACAATTTCTTGCATTATTTTTTTCGCAAACCAAACAATGGAATAACAATATACTCGAGGCCACATTCATATTCCTATCCTATTTCTCACATATTACATTTTTTCCCGGAATCATATTCCTATAAATGTTCTCCCATTATTGCAAACCAAACATGTAGAATCTGCAACCAAACTCCCAATGGAAACTATGAAGCTGAAGGAGATGGATCAATCAAGCAACCACCGAAAACCATAGTCTGTGAACTGCTAAGCATCAAATTCTTAATGGTTTTAATGGCTTCAACACTATCGCCATCATAACGAGGTCCATCAATTACCTGTAAGAATCAAAAGAGAACCCAGAAAACAGTCTTGAGGAAATTTGGGAAAGTATGACATCTGAAACACCATGAATGATTATTTAATGAAAAAAAGAATTCTTCGGGGGATGTTTCCCTCTCTTCTAAACAAATCTTGACCACAATATTTCCGGTTTCTGATATTAAAAAACGTGGAAATTCGAACTAGGAGATAAACAAGGGAGCAGAAGTGAAGGAAAAGTACCAGAAAAGAAACCATGGATACGTCTATGGCCTTACACGATATGAGCTCTTTGAGTCTCTTGGGAGTGGAAACAAAAATGTCTGGTGTGCTCGTAAGGCTGCCATAATCAAAATCCAACGAATTAGTTCCACGTCAAAAACCATTTGTGTAAAACACATATAACAGAAAAAGGATGAGATCCGAGAAATTTTCACTAACACATGATCTTGACAAAGAGTGAGTATTCCACTTGTTATCAAAGGCTTGCAGACTTGGAATACCTAAGCATAAATAAGACATAGTTATCAACAGAATGCCGGAATCATAGGCGTAAGGAATATTCTTTCCATAATAAAGATTGGAAAAAGAAAGAAAACCAAAGAAAAAGAAAGATACCTTAATCACTTCCCGTTGAGAGGGGACCAAGTATATAAGGAAGGGGCTTGAGGGTGATAATTGGTTTCCCTTTCCAATTATAATATCTGAAGCCGTTGATGCAATCCATGCAATCTGAACAAGTGTAGATTCGGATTGACTTGTATCCACAATATCCTTCCCCTTCGTATAGCTCTTCCAAAATTCAAACCCCCAATAGTTAGCAAAGAACCGCCCATTCCTCTCATTGATGAAGGCTTTATCATCCTCAATTATACTCAGACACAAGAGCAACCGTTTTGATGGAGCCCCATCGTAATCGTCGTAAGCATCCTGCTTTTCTTTGGAAACTGATAATATTTCTGCATTTTGTAGTTTAAAAGGTCTTTTAGACTCTTTTAACTCGTCTTTGAAATACAGAACCATGGGATTCTGTTCTTCATCGGCGTTTGCAAGGGTAGAATCGGCAAGCCCTCCAACATTTTGCTTGTGAATAGGCATATTTTCTTCCTTAGAAACACACAAATTAAACAACATAAGTAAAGTCTCTCAATTTATACCATGAAGAACATGATGCAAAACATTAATACAGAGAGTTTAATGTAAATATTTTCACATGACACTACTTCATGTGATATTCATAATTCAAATCATATCGCCACAATTAATCTCTACTATAAACAAAACCAAGAAACCTAATTAAATGAAAACTCCACAAGTTTTGTCCTAATAAGCCCCCCCCTTACAGGAGCCAAGCCTCCATCCACAGAAGCCACGAGTTTTTCATAACACTGTACACATTGCAATGCAGCTAGAAACTCTTGTAGTTAACTACGGATCGGGTATTAAACGCTTGATTGTGGATGATAAATCAGTATGAGCAAGATCACATTTTCACGAGAATTAACACAAACTAATGTTGGAAATTCAGAAATCTAATCACAGATTGTTCACAAAAAAATTTCAATTCACAACGGAAATAAATACACAAACCCAGATTTCACATTCCGGAACAAGATAAAAAAAAAGTAAACTGATTGAGGGGAGATTCACCTGAGAGATTCTCGGAGACCGAGGAGATTCGATGCGATGAAATCCCCTCGTTCTTCCGCAGATCTCTTCGTCTTCGTCTGTGTCCTCTTCTTCTTCTTCTCCAGGGAATCGGGGCTTTCCGCCATTATAAAGAGAAGGAGAAGGCGGTTTATAGAGTGAAAGGATTGTGGCGCTTTAAGAAACTGCAAGGGGATATGGGATTTGGAAACTTGAGAGAAGGGGTTTGTGGGTAGGTTTGTAATTCAAGTGAGACGCAATGGGTAAAAACGTCATTTCGCCGCTTTTGAATTTCTTGGGCTTCTAATTAATTGAGGAGACCTCACCTAGCAACAATTCAAGACTACAAGACTGCAACTTTGAATTTTGGGCTGGACATTAATATTTCGGTGTAAATTATAGGGTTAGTACTTAGTAACTTATTTAGATTTTGAGTAAATTTCATAATTGATCCTTTATAACATGAGGGTTTCCATATTTAGTCCTTTATTGTCAAATATTACCTATGTAGTCCTTTTTTTAAGGTTGACTTTCCACAAATGGTCCTTTTTTTTATCTTCCGTCATGTTGGTATTAATTTAAAGGTTAAAAGTATAATTTGACATCAACATTATGTCTAGTGACGTGTTCTGATATTGGTTAAGCGGATAACACAAAAATAATGACTATGATTGTGGGCTAGAATTCCGACGAAAGACCACATTTGTATATTATGATTGTAGTAGAAAGCGATTGTAATTCACAAACGATTGAAATGGAACACCCTTTGGAATTGTGTATGACAAAAAAGATATATTATCATTGCGAAATTACACTTTTAGCCCTCAAATTAACACCAACATGATAGAAGATCAAAAAAGGGACTATTTGTGGAAAGATACCCATAAAAGAAGGACTACTTGGGTAATATTTGATAATAGAGGACTAAATAAAGAAACCTCCTTGTTATAAAGGACCAGTTATAGAATTTACTCTTAGATTTTAGACTCTTTTTTGTTGTTGTTAATGGAAGGAGTTAGAAAAATTGGAAGAAGTTACACATTATTAGAAAAATTAAAGTGTTGCAGTATAAAATCACTCAATTAAATGACTACTCAAATAAACAGGTAAGAAAACTCTAATTTTGAATAAAAAAATTCACCATTTTCTGAGTTTGAGGTGTAATGTTATAAATTTGAATATATAATTTATTGTACATTTATCACATTTAAATACTTTTTTTAGTTATTGTTGGACGAAAATGGAAAGAATTAGAATGAATTGAAAAGAATGAGAAGAAACTAGAGAGAGTTAGAAAAAATTGAAAATTAATTTTTCCAACTCAAAAAAACAGAATCTTATTCTTGGAGAGTATCACTATAATTGAAGTGGATATTTTTTTATGAAAGAATATTCCTATCAAAGGTATATCTCTATATCATACGTAGTCAATGATGTTAGAATAAAGGACCAACGCTAGAGAGGGTGAATAACGTTTAAAACAAAATCGCAGGAATTTAAAACGAGGAAGGGAAAGTAAAGAGCGTAAGGAAGGAGCTCACCGTATTTTACCCTAGTTCACCACAACGTGTGACTATGTCCAGCCTCCCGAGAGACTCACTCGAGTTACACTAACTTCATTAAGCATAAAAGGTGCTTAACAAATCGATACAACTTGAGAACTTGAGTCACACGAGCCTCAACACCGTACCACTTGCTCGGAGATACCGCACTCCAAAACTTCATACGAAGGAACGAAAACTTCCTTCGAATTACAACAAGGGGACAAACCTCCCTTCAAGTGTATAAAAACACTTAAAAAGTCAGGAATAAACCTCTCAAAGAGTATATATGAGTAAACTAATAAGCGCTCAAGAACACGACAAATTCTTCAAGAATTGGCTCTCAAAAAGCTAAGAAATATGAAAGATGATAATGCAATGAAATAGTCTTGAATGTTGAAGAATTGTGTGAAAAAATGAGAGGATTTGGGTGTCATTTTATAAGCTAAAATTTGGTGTATCCGTTGCAAGAGTTCCAACAGGATCAAGACAAAAATTTTAAAGTCACAGACTGATAGTCGATTATCTTAAGATAATAATAGATTATCAAAAGATTCCGTGTCAAAAAATTTAAAATTCTATCCGTTGGAGGGCAACGGTTACAGTGATAGTCGATTATCAAAAGTCTGATACTCGACTATCAAACCCCTCTGAAAAACCTGGGTTTGCCATGAAACTCTGATAATTGATTGTCAGCATGTGTTAATCGATTATTGGACGGTCCTGAGCTTAGAGTTCAAAAACTGCAGGATCTGATAGTCGACTGTTGCTTTAGTGAAAATCGAGTATCACCCAGCTAAGACCCATCCGGCGAAAACCCAACTTGAAAAATCGAGGTCCAAAAATGAAGTGTTCCCAAAACTAAAACCAAGGTTGAAAAACATTGTATATGGTATAAAAATGAGAAACCAAGACTTGTTTATTAAAAACCAATTCTTCGAGGTCGTAAGTCACATGTTGACGAGTTTGATCGATTTTCCGGTGTTTAGACCGATTGGCCATCATATACAAGTGGTTTTTATAAAACAATTGTTTGAGAACCTTTTAAATATGCCCAAAGGTAAAAATAAAGAAGGAAATATTGAAAACCACTTGGTTGGTTCGGACGCCGAAAACCGAAAGTCGGATGCCGAATGCCGAACGCGTGGTTTTGGTTTGGGCAAAGACCAAGGATTTTTACAACTTTAAAAAGCTTATGAAAAACGTTTATTTGATGCATAAAAACGTTTCATGATTTTATAAAATATTTTGACTCTTTGAAAGTCAAGACTTGATTTAATTGTCGGTTTTTTATCACAATGAGACCGACTCGACTAAGTCTTCAAATCTTGATCTTGTCCTTGAGTCTTTTGGTCTTGTTTCATGTCTTACTTCACGCCTTGAGTTATTCAACGAAACTTTTCATATCCACGGCGGTTTGGCAATTATCAAAACCTGTCAGAAACGAACACGACTTTAGTTCAACGCAAAATAAAGTGTGTTCCAACAAATGATAGTGAAATAAAAAATTATATCAAAGAAATCCCTAATATATTTAAAAATTATATCATATAAAAAATATAGAATTTAAATAATCTAGAAATCATATCAAACAATGTATTCAAACATCCAAATTACTAGTTTTTTAACCTGTTCAACATCAACTATTAAAACAATTTCATTTTTATGGTATATATATACCATTTAAATTTCATATATATAAATGATCTAGGTTTACTAAATTTCTAGAATGTATAATTCTTCTCGCCCCTTAATTAAAAAAACATATTAGAAAATGTTAGTGATTTTATCATTCTTCTCACCCGCATTTATTTAAAAAACTTATATTTCCGATCCTATAATTTTACGATTAAAAAAATCTTGATTCTTCTTCGCAACATTAATGAAAAAACCTGATTCTTCTCTCACGCATTAATATGATACTTCCTCTCCTCGGTCCTTTGCATTGATTAAAAATTGACTTTTTTCTCCCGCATTATTAAAAATATGAAAACATAAATTAGCAATCCTATGAAAAGAAATATAAATTTTACAATACATTAAAAATACAATAATTATCCCCCCGTATTATATCAAAAAAATTGTCAATGACTCTGAAAAAATACAAAAAATATTTCCTCTTTTTTTGCATTCTTTTTTATATATTAAATCATTAAATACATAATGTTTTATAAAAAACATAAAGAGTTACGAATTGAAAATTACATTTTCTCTTTGATGTTGTAGCTGAGTCTAGATCTTTTCTACTTCTGCACATTAGATCTTCTCCGTACTTCTCCTTAATATATTGATTATCCTTACACCTAGATTTTAATTGTCCAAGATCTTCATGCATTTCCCGGCCTCTAGACCTTAATTTTCCTTATAGAAATCTTCTTTGTAAAAGTTCATGTTATATCTCTCCCCGTTTCTAAGAATATCATTTTGTTGAATTTCTTTGTATGATTGCGAGAATTGAGAAAAGGAAAATTGAGTGATACTTCTTTCATATTTTATTTTCATGCATAAATATAGTGAATTATCACTCAATATAAATTTATAAATGCTAAGTTACATCTTAAAATGGTAAGTTGTGCAAACTTACCTTGAATAAAATAATACTCCCTCCGTCCCAAAATATTTGTCACACTTCTATTACTGAGGTAAAATATCAAGTTTTTTCAATTCATTTTATTTCCATATTGGTATAAAAATAAAATAATAAAATTTACATATCAAAAAAACTACATGAAAAGTTCTTCGAAATAAAAGGTGTCAAGAATATTTTATTTTATCAAATAACCAATGAAAACATAAAAATAAATAAAAGTTCCCGCGACTGCTGAAAAAGCAAATGTGAGATATATTTTAGGACGGAGGGAATAAGTCAAATTAGCAAGATAAAGTGTAAAAGGTCAAATTAAATATTCCTTCTAATTAATTTGGTTTAAACACTTGATCATTTAAAAATAATTTAGTCATATCTTAATTTATAGAAGTTTAATATAGGGTTTAAAAGATATTTTTTATTTTACATTAATATTTAAATAAATAGAATAAAACTAACTTAACTTAATCATATCATAAAGATACTCCGGGGTATGAAATTTGTTTAGAGATGAAGAGAGTAGTTTATATATTCATTGAAAGAATTATTATAAATGAAATGAAAAAATAAAAACCGAAAAGAATATTCTAATGAAAATTAATAGCTCTATTCCTTAGTAAATGTACTCAATGATAGTAAAATCCTAAGTGTGAACAGCCCCAAGTACATTATTCTCAATTGAGCACTACTCTAGGAGTACTACCTAAGCAATTTGTTTGTCTTGACCTCTTGGGACTAATTTTTACTATCCAAAAAAATAAGGGCGAAGAGAAATAAAATTCCACACGGCTTTTCCACATTTTCAACAATTTCGCCTCCATTCCTGCGTGTGGACTCCAGTCTCCCCCTGCGCCTCCTTCCTCCTCTCCTCATCATCATCATCATCATCTTCTTCTTCTTCTT